CGGAATTCGCAGGAGAAGGTAAGTCTCTATGACGGTGTGAAAATAAGACTGGAACAATTTTGCGGTAAGTGCACTGCTTTAATGCGTCTGCATTTTTTTAAAAAAATAATATTTTACCATCATTTTGTGTTGAATGCTGAATCAGATTTTTCAACCTTCAACGCGGTTTCATATTAATTCTATAGATTTCTACCCCTTTGTTTCTGACATTCTTCCACGTATCCTTTTCACCTTTTTGGAATGTACCCAAATGGCAATGACAATTACAGCATTAAGCCCCAGCTTGACAACAATTAAATTAAAACTTTTTTTTTTCCTAACTCATTTTCAACCGCTCTCACAAGTCACAATAAAACATTTTGCATTACATCCAATTTTTTTCCTACTTTTTAACTACACATTATTAAAAAAATTACTATTTCAAAACTCATTTTGTCCAAAAATAAATGCAAATTTCATGTTAATCATCAAACCAATCATTAAATTTTAGTGATTATTTCGAATTAAAATAAAGCTTGCTTACGACATATTAAAATAAGTGAGCGCCGTCAATACCGAAATAAAGGTTGAGAATGTTGCTAAAATATTAATTATAACGACATGAAAGGAAGGAAAAACCATACTATTAAGTCCCTTTTGCCCCATTAAAATTATAATTCATTTTTCTCTTCTTGTCAACCACATATAATCTAATAAAATAAGATTACACGTAAACTCAAAATTTCTTCTTCTTTTTCAACCACACATTCTTAAAAAAACACTATTCAAAAATTATAATGTCAAATAATGAAACCAAACAAAGGCTAAACCCATGTTTGGCCCCCATAAAATTATAATTAATTTCTCTCCTCCTATTAACAATGCATTCTCTAATAAAATAATATTACATGTAATCCCGAAACTTTTTTTTTCTTTTTTGACCCCACTTTCTTTTTTCCAACCGTTAAAATTTCATATAATAGGTACCAAACAGGGGCTAAACTCATGTTTGCTTTAGCTAAAAACTTTTACTAAAATCTAAGTCAGAATTAACAAGTAATTGAAATCCACAATATTTCGATCACAAAAGCCATCAATTTTTATCACAATCAAACCAAGGCTAAATAAAGTCTACTAAACTTGTTTTATGAAACAATAATGCTACGTAGTCCAGTGGAGTTGCATCCCCAGTCTAGATGGCATTAAATGATTGGCTAAATAATAGGTAAAATTAAATAACTTATTTAATTTCATCTATCATTTAATGCTACATTAACGTCATCTAGATTGGGAAAGCAACTCCATTTGAGATGAATAGCTTTGCCCTTTATGAAATGGCGTTTAATAATAAAATAATTGTAGTGAAAGCAAGGTATGTCTTTCCTTTATAATAAACAATTGAGTTGGATAATGCACCACTACTAAAGTAGTTAAATTTACAAGTCCGAATTGACGGTCTACAACTACAACCTAACCCCACTTTGAAACAAAACAATCTGAATCATCTGATTGATCTCTATATACCAGCTCCGTGGCCCACCATAAATAATGAAACAAATATGCCTCTGTTTGAGCGATGCTGACGAAATTATTGACGATTTTCTTAAATCATATGAGTTCCAAGGACAAGTACGGTCTCTAAAAACATGTAATAATCTACTTTTTTTTGTAGCATCAGTCCATCAATCGAATGTCTTATTTCCTGTGGCAATTCATGAGAGGTTATGATGAATAACATTATTCATGGTATTATACCCTTGTGTGACGGTAATTTTAAGAAAATAACTTCCCTTTACACGCCTTTTTATCACACAATAAGAAAAATCATTTTTCATACTTCTAACAACATTCTTCGACAAAAAAAAAAAATCAGACCTCCCCCCTTACAAACCCAGTATAAAAAGAACCACTGTTTAATTCTTTTACGTAGTACCATTCAATAACAAGAACTCTATAATAACAACACATTTTCTGAAACGCTTAATGTGCTAGTCAAACGCTGCCACTATTCTTCCTCAGCTCAAATGAGATGTTTCCATCTCACCAAACTATACAAATAGTCAAAAACTCTATGTCGTTATTAATAGTTTGCCTACAAATAAATGTGAAACAAAGATCACTCTCATCTAATGGAATAGGTTAAACAAAATATCACCGCAATCAGTTTATCCCAAAGTTTAACCTATTAAAGAAGAAGAGTAGATCGAGTTTACTTTTCCCATCAAATCCCAACGCCTACACATTTTTAAATGGGTAACATGACATTTTTCTAGTTTGTCCAAAAGCTTACACGGTTAAAAGGGGACATTCATTAGAATTGTATATTCAATGAACTGAATTAAACAGTGTCAATCCACCAAGCTAACACTTATCGCACATTTGCACCCAAAAAGACGCTAATTCTACCACCATTTTATGATGCAACCAGTTTGCCATCCTAATGCAAAAACAAAAATTTCAGTTCAACCAAAATCAAGGGCAAAAAATATCAAAACTCAACTCAAGGCTCTCTCCAGCTCATATTCAGGAAAAAATAAAGCTACTAACTTAACAACCAAAAAGACTCCTTAACAGGTAACCCAGTTTCTAGAACAAGTCACAGGTAAAAAACCAGTCCTGCTCTTGATCATCCTTGTATGGAAAATGTTCAAGAACCCTGCATGAGAACAGCAGAATCTATTTTCCAAGATTCTTCCAATTGTTCATGATTTCAACCCTGGATGGGCTCTAAGGAATTTTAATCATCCAAACGAAGCCTAAACAAAGAAGGCAGTGATGGTTTTACCAATTGAAATGTTAATATGATCTTCTAGTAAAGATTTCCAGATCTTTCGTGTTATGAATTAATGGTCGTGCATGAAATGAGACTCGATACCATTTTCTAATAGAAATGCGAAGACATGTAGTGCAAGTGTGAGTGCACATTAACAAGGAAGGAAATACATTAGTTTAGAGCATGTTTGGCTCAGCTTAAAAAGATAACTTATAAATTTCCAAAAAAATTTAATTGGTGAAAATTAGAAATAAGTGACATTTGAAGCTATGAGTCACTTTCGAAATAAGTAATATTTTTTACTGAAGTACGACAAAAGTAATACTTACTTTTAAGCATAGCCAAACATGTTCTCTGTCATTTATCAATAAATATATGAACATGGAAAGATAGATATCAGAAGAAAAGCATGTTGCAGTCAGAAATAGTTAAACAAAACCATTGAGCCGAACCGAAGAACAAAACCATGCACACTGATGTAACATGTAACAGAACATGATTAGGCTAACAAATCACCCAGAGATGGAACTGCATTGAATGCATGTCTTGGATATTATTAAGTATAATATGAACCAACAGTGTGTTTGAGACACCACTGCGTGCATTTATATATGAGACGAGATGTTAATGCCGATGACTTGATGATGAATGGATGCATTGCATGATGCATCCTACCATGTAGTGGTTTGTATGTCAGAGCATAGAGAACAGAATACACCCCCTTCCAGCTACTGGTAGGTCATGGATGCTGGAGCAGAATTCACACCGAGGGGCACAGCTAGGTTGACAGAGTCCTTCCTTCTTCCAAATGGATTCTTCGAATATGTTTCTTGGAGTCAAGGAAAAAGTAAGCCCACGTTTAAACAAGAAAAACATGTTATCAAATATGCCTATTTCCTCATTCATAAAATGTTTTTTTTCCATACTTTTGTTATTACCATTTTCATTTCTTTTTTATTTTGGATGGGAGGGTGTACAAAATCGTGTCCTCTTCTATAATGTTTGGATGAATATAAATCTAGAGAGGTACCATCCAAATCCATGTCAGATTCAGAAAGTGTTTCAATAAAGCACATGCCTCGAGAAGCATGGTGAACTACATTACATATTAGCTAGAAACCTCCCGACCATCAAATGATATGACGAAAACAAATATGGAACAAGAAAGTCAAGGGTAAAAAACAATAAACGCACAAGAAAAAGTAAACGTAAAGGATATTGAATGCGCATGCCAACAGAACCAGAACTGGGTATAACAGCACCCTGCAAGTTACGGTGCACATTTGTGGCACTATTCACGTCCTGCATGTACGATACAGAAAAACTTAAATTACAATCGAGCACGATGGAGAGGACATGCATCACAAAGTATGATTGCAAGAAGCATTAACCCCAATTGACAAACCAGGAATCTTACTTCAAATTCAATGAAGCAAACTGTGTGTCTTTCCTGTCTCAATACCTTCATCTGCTTAAAGCCAGGCTGTCTGCATGTATGAAAGAGCACAGTAAAGCAGACAAACCAGTCAATATCTGTGATATATAAGCATCCAATCAAATGTGTGATTGTTCCCAAATGAGTAAAGTCCAAAAACATACACGCTGAAAAGGCCTCTCAGCTCTTCTTCATTAATATTCTCACCAAGATTGCCAATGAACAGAGTATTGCAAGGTGGGTTGTCTTTATTATTCTACAAACAAGTAATACAACAACTTATTCATAGAACAATGGGTTCAGTGGTAAGGATAATAACTAAAAATCCTCATACGAAAATATAAACAAGATTTATCATAAACCCTAATTGACACTTCACAAAAGAGAAATGAATAAATTCCACGCAAACTTGACAATCAGAAGCAAGAGTGGGACTACACCTGAACAGGTACATAACTGCTTGGCGCCGGTACAGGAGCGGAAGCAGGCATTGGGACTGGAGGAACAGCATAACCTCCATAAGGATCATAAGGCGGAGGTGGAGGAGCCATATACCTAAGACAATATCATCACTATTAGTACAAGCAACTAAGGTTCTAATCAGTGTAATTCGTCATAGATAAAAATTATGCTTGAGATAAGACCCTCAAGACTTCTTCTCTAGTAACGTGCTTTTTGCTATAATAGTTGGAACCCAACCTACCCATGCGGTCCCCAAACAGGTGCCGGGGGAGGGTGAAAGGGAGATGGACTTAAATAACCAGCATGCGTATAATCACCACCAGTTCGCATACGTTTATTTTGGTCATAAGCATTTGAATCAGCAACAATTCCTGCAAATGAACGAAAAAATTAGCAAGGCAACTCAGCTAAAAAGAAAAAAAGGAACAAACAAGAAAAATGCTGCATGAGAATTATTTCCCCAAACTGTGTTCAGCATAGGCTTTGCATGGATGATACTAAACCTCATTTCAATAGATATTGTGTCAACTGCGGTACTAGACACGAATTGATATGGTGGAGCACCTTCAGGCTATGTTGCTCGGACTCTTCATTTTGGTCGGCATACCCGTGTCGACACGACACGGGTACGAAATACGGATCGGAAGCTGCAAATGTCAACCGGACACGGCCAGGGGCGACAAGAGGAAGAGGAAGAGGAGGAAAAAGAAGAAGAGGAAGGGGGGCTGCTGCCAGAGTCGAAGAAGAAGAGGAAGGGGGGCTGCTGAATCTCCATTTGCAGAGCTGGAAGTGACGGAAGGAAGAAGAAGGAGGGGGTTGAACTTGAGCCTCTTTTTTTTAAAGTGTTGGGCTTCGGCTTCAAAACATTATTGTTTTTTTTTTATAAACATTGCCTTTTTTTATTTAAAATAAATTTATCAATTGTGGTTAAATATATTTACAATCTTACAGCTTTATTGGTTGGGTTGATTTTTTTTTCTCGAATTTTACAGCCATATTGTTGAGCAAATTACACGATATTTATTATTTATTTATTATGCTTTTGGTTCTTTTGATATAGACAAGATCATTTTAGTTTTAAAAAAATATCATGATTAATGTTACAAAAATTTAAAACAATTTAAAATATGATTTTTCTTTGACCAAAATGATTGATAGATAATTATAAAATCAACATACATAATTTTTTTAGAACAATTCAATAGCATTTTTTGAAATTAATATTTTTTCAAAACTTGACAAAATAGAAATAATCAAATAATATTTTTGATTAATTTTACATATGAAGTTTTTAGAAAAAAATAATAATTGAAGTTAAAAAGACGTACCCACATACCCGTGTCCGAAATTTGGACTCTTTTTAGCTATGTCCCCATATCCTCTATTTTAAAAAATAAAAGATCCGACACTTAAATACATACCCGTACCCGATAACCGTACCCGAATCCGAGCAACATAGCCTTCAGGCCATTAGTAGTGTGAAACCTATAACTATAGCCTGATGTCATGGTAAATATTCCATTTTCACGCTAAAAGGAAAATCATCCATAAGCGACAATTTATACATCACAGAAAAACCTTGGAAGTTCCAGTGAACATTAAAGTAAAGATATGGAAACATCAAATGAACCAAATGCGGGCACGCATATATTATTTTATTCCATATAGTCAAGTGTAATGCAAGGTCCTAAATGAAGATATAGTCAAATGTAAGTCTCCATCCATTACGATTCTATGAAAGAAGGTTTCTACTGCAACACTAACCATTTAACTTAAAGAAAAATTGAAAAAGGATGTCAGAACTGAACTGCTTACTGACCAGAGAAAGTTGCTTCAACCAAAATACACTAAATTATACATAGGGGCCCCAAGACGACGACCTTGTAAGATTCTCATGTGAGATGACTGCAGTTCACCAACGATGCACAAAAATACAAACATATTGACTCCAACTAAACAAAATTTGGTTATCTAGAAGTGAAACAGAAAAATTTGTATTATGACTAAAAGAAATGTTCGATCCATTTCCAAGTTACAACTTATCCTACATGAATCCGTCCACTAAATCAATACTTTCTAACATTTATTTCAGTTGTAACCATCGAGCCTTAAAAGCAGCTAAAGCAGTCCATTTTTCAGCTGATCCTAGTTGTATGTGGACGAATAAATGCAAAACCAGGCTGCTTATTTCGTTTTAATAGCTAATAATTGACAATAATGACAGTCATAAGCACTCTATTAGGTCTGTCTATGATCTATCTCCCTCTCTTATTGACCTTGGAACTCTATATGAGAAGTAGGTTAGCGGACAGGTCTGTGCTGGACATGCGCAGGTCCATGATGATCTTTGATCACCCTCAATTCGTAAAAGATAATAGCCTATTGATGATCGCGAACCTCCGGATTATATTAAGATAAGTTATACTCAACTAAGCAGGTTTGAAAATAATGAGGTCGACAAGCCGAGTTGAAAGGATCTGCTAAAAAATTAATTTGGTTAGCTTAAACTGGATGATCGCCAATTTTCAGCAAACAGAGAACTTTGCAGCTATAACTGTGGGTAATCTATCTTTCCGCCAATTTAAAATATTTACCATTTACAGAGTACTTGTTAACAAGTGGCAAAACCGATTAGCAGAATCAATATATATGTTCAATATTCTATTGCTAAATCAATTTATGGCACCCCGAGCAATCAATTCACAGTGTACTTAAAATATCAACTTTACTCAACTAATTTAAAATGTTTTAAAATCAAAAATAAATAAAAAATCTCACCCCTTTTGACAAAAAGATTCTTCTTGGCCATCTCCGTGTGCAGTACAGACTTTGAATCAGCATCAAAGACCATATCCTGAACACCATAATATTTCAAAATAAAATGAAAAAAATACTCAGGATTTCAAAAAAAAAATAAAAAAAAATAAACTGAGAGAGACAGGGCGGGCGAGTTAATAGAATGCAGTAGAATAAATTTCCTGTAGGGCGTCCTTGGCAGCAAGTGCATGCTGAGCAGTAGCAAAAAGGGCGAAACCCATTGGATGCTCGCCTTTAAAATTGACCTGCGATGCCTCGTAGCCCGGCAACCATCTCAGCAAGTTCTGCAACTCTCTCTCTTTCACATCCTCCGGTAACCCCGAAATGAAAATCGTCCGTACCTTCAAAAATAAACCAAAAATTTGAACATAACGCCATCATAATTGTTCGAATTGAAACAAGGAATAGTTGAAATTGTTGTACGTACCTCATCCGAGGGTGATTGGAGGGCGTGGTTATCCATGGGAATTGGAGGAGGGTGTGGGTGAGGAGGAGGAGGAACGGCCATGGCAGCAGTCGGAGGGGCAGCGCCTGGTGGCCATTGCTGGTGGTATGGGTGAATTCCGGCACCGGCCATTTCTCAGGAGAACCGATCGGTTGGTGTTATGTTTGCTCTTTTCTTGTGCACACTACGAATAATTGAGAGCTAGGGTTTGCTTTAGTAAAAGAGCTCCTCGAAATTGTATTTCAGTATTNGTAGGATGGTTTATTTCTTAATTTAGCATATTGTTTTTCCTTTTTCCATTCATCATGCATAGAGCATGTTTGGGCAAGCTTGAAATCCAATTAAAATTGAAAATATAGTCGTTATTGGGTCTCACTCGTCTAATAAAAGTTAACAATAACGACTATATTTTCAATTTTAATCCGATTTTAATCCCTCCCATACAAGGCCTTAATAAATTTTACTCATCTTGACACTTCGGTGGATAAGTATATTAGATGTCATATTTCGCAAGATCATTACTCTTGTCGTACTCAAATTACTACATTTCTTAGGAGTTTAGATAATCAGTGGTGATCGTTTCTTTTACTCTCTTAATGCATATTGTTTCCTACACGAGGTAGATTTGAATTTTGGGGTTGATTCTTTTCGTATGTGTCAAACCCTAGATATCTGTAATAATTCTACTCTTATCGTAACACGAGTTTCGTTAGCGGAAGAGTGAAGATACAATGTAAAACGATTGCATGTATTGATCTAAAAAATATGTATTGATGGACAAGTAGAAGTGTGAATGGTCCAAGAACAATAATTTACAACTATGAACAATTGAAAATTATTCTCAGCAATTTCGCAACGACTCAAATGATTAATAGTTTGCATTAATTTTTAAATATATTCACAAAAATAATTAATAAATTTATATTTTACTTCCTTCACCAACTATAGAAGGTTTCCTCTGCTACTTTCAAAAATGACTATTTATCATCGTCGTTAAGAGCCGTTTAGCAAGGCTTCTACTTCTGCTCCCACTTCTTGATATATTATTACGAGAAACAAGAGAGAATAAAGGTAATTCTCACACATAATGTTATGATTTATAAATAAAATTTAAATAATTTGATACACAAATAATTTTGCTGTGATGCTTTAATTAAAATATTATTTATAATAAATTTTATATGATATGAAATAAATATTATTTAAGAAGATGAGATATATAGGAAATAATTAGTGTTTACTTAAATAAATACATGATTTAAACAGAAGTACTTCTATGATTATGTTGGAAAACAATCAGTTTTACAATTCACAAGTAAACTAGCAATAGCTTTTTTAAAGCGGCATTCTTTATTAAAAAAGAACTGCTAAAAGCTATATAATCACAAAAGTGAGCCAAACTATCATCTTGGATCTTGACTCTCTTTGTTTAGATACATAACTTTATTTGTAATTTAAACTTGAGTTTCCTATTTGGAGTGTTATTATTTTTAGGATTTGAACAAATCCAAGCAATATTTAAACAATTTGATCAAAAGAGAAATACAAAGGAAAGAGTATTTCACCTAATCCGAAACATTCAACTTCTTAAATTAACACCAACATCAACTGCAACACGACTTCTAGCTCTAAACAAAGACAACAAAATATGAAACCATAATATGCTTTCAATCTCCTGAAAACAATGATAGTGCATCCCTCCATTACGAACAGGGTGACTTAAATTATAAAAATTCCACATGCAACTCGGCAACAAATGGAGATGGGACGAATTTGCTGCTTTTCGGATAGTAGCTGCTATTTATTCTTGACCTAGGTCCACGCAACAAAGTTTGGCCCTTCGACCTCATTTCCAAGAAATGCGAGTGCTTTCAACAATGAACTCTCTAAAGTTCAAGAAAAACAAACTCTTCAACTGCAGGCACTTCGCCAACCTTCTTAAGTGTATCCTTATCAGGTTCTTCATCTACTCCAATTGCCATTATGGCCTTTGTCCTCTTAGCAGTTCTTCCCACACTCATAAAGCTCACATTAACATTACGCTCTCCAAGGATGTTTCCAACTCGTCCAATCATTCCCGGTTGATCTACTTGACGGCATAGTATGAGATTTCCATCCAGACTGACATCAACTTCAAATGATCCGACGCGCGTTAGATGAGGTATCCCATACTTAACTCTCCCCTCAATGCTAATGTTTCCATTCTCTGTCAAAGCGCTCGCAAATTTTGACTCCACGTTACTTACCTGTACCTGGATCGAGTCAATAGGATTTTCAGATGACGAGTCCACCAAAACTCGTTCCTCACTAATTCGGAGACCCTTTTGCTTGGCGATGAAATCTGCATTGACGAGGTTGATATGGGAGTCGGATATAGGCTCGATAATGCCCTTCGTTATCATGGCACGAAGAAGTCTGGTGTCCAAGTTATCTGGATCTCGAGCTGATTTGTAGGCCACCTTCACAGACTGAATTCCACTTCCTCCAGCAACTAATTGTACAGCTAGCCTACCCAGTTTCTCAGCCAGTGTAACATAAGGAGCCAATTCTGACAAGACCTGATAACGAAAATCGGGAATTTTTAGTATCAGCTAACGAAGTTCTGGAGAAAGGGGTTTAAAGAAGCATATATAGATAGTAGCAATTATTTTTATTTATTTTTACCTCGGGGGGAACCATAGGAGCATTGACTGCAGTAGCAGAAAGCTCCCCTTTCAGTGCACCAACAACTGCTTCGGCTATTTCGACTGCAACTCCATCCTGAAATATAAGTATTGAGGTTAAAAGCTCACATGACATGCAAATGAGGCAACATCCACAAGAATTCTTACCTGCGCTTCCTTTGTGCTAGCTCCAAGATGTGGCGTAACAGTAACATTCTCATGTTGGACTAATTTGCTATCTTTAGGTGGGGGCTCCTCTGTGAACACATCAAGTGCCGCCTAATAAATACGATGCACAGAAAATCAGTTTCACATAGCATGAACAAGGTCTGCAGGAATTTTGCGCCACATTGCAAAACAATAAATCCATCATATGATGTATGAAAAGATGCGAGTTGTGAAACGGAGTAGTCCTAAGGTCATATCATTTTTTGATAATTTAGAAGGTCAAAATAACTTGGACAAATTGTGGAAATCGCTCTCAAAGAGAATATACCTGTGCAACTGTTCCATTATCAAGGGCCCTCACTAAGGCATCTTCATCAATAACACCACCTCGAGCTACATTTATGATGCGGACACCCTTTTTCATCTTTGAAAAGGTTTCATCATTAAATACCTTGTTAGTTGTAGGAGTAAGAGGCATATGGAGTGAAATGAAGTCTGCAGTGGAGATAGCCTGATCAAAAGAGATCAACTCCACACCAATAGCACGTGCTCTATCGGCTGGAGCATAAGGGTCATGTGCAATAACATGCATGCCGAGTCCTTTTGCACGTCTTGCAACTTCAGAACCAACCTTACCAAATCCCATGATTGCTAATGTCTTCCCAACCAGAGAAACACCAACATACTTGTTGCGTTGCCATTTTCCTGTTAACATTAATTAAGAAGTAATCAACTCATATGAAAACTGTTTTGCAAGATAAGCTTAATTGATAATTAGACAAATAACTATATGAAATAATTATGCAAATGTTAGGTTTCTGATGATAGAAATCGTCCAACGAATATTCAGCTATCTCAAGATTTTTACATCAATAAGGGTCTACACTATTCCTGCATAAAATAAGCTGTCACTTCAACTCTTTCTTCAGGCACTGACAAAATTATAAACAAAAAAATGTGAGATGTTTTTTTTCAAGCCACAAGGATCAGAAGCTAGTAAAGCAATACGTTACTCCCTTGTCATCCGGGTTCTTGCGTGTCCCTTACTTTTTGACATTAAAAACTTTGAAGCAAGTGTAGCCACTTATGCAGGAGTGAAGGATTCGCCTCAGAAGTCCATGATGGTGAGTAAAACTCATCGAGTAGTCAAGACTATAAGAAGTATTGGAAATACAGCTATTATTGCAATGCATACAACAAGGAGCCAGTAGTACTCCATACGTACAAAGACATTGAAGTGTGGAAGCAAATTAGAGAATGGCTTGGGATCAGACGCCCCATGTCAACAATCTCAATTGCCTTGAAGTGGATGATTAAAGAAGCTAGGGGAACGACATGGCACAGTAAGGTTAAGAAGATTGCACTTGCAAGTACAGTCTACCATCTATGGACCGCAAGGAATAGAAAAATTTTTGAAGGTCTCAACTCACAGGTTGCTAGCGTGGTCAGAAAAATTAAAACACACATATACAAAGTATGTTTACTTTGTATCCGCATGTTTTAAATCTTTATGAATCATGAGCACTTACTATGTAACAATGAACTTTTCATCCTTGTTAGAGCCGGGTATGCCTGGTATTTGATGTATTTTGGAACTTTGATACATTGTTGTTTGATTTCTCGCCGGGTATGCCTGGTGTATGTGTATACATGTTTTGATCAATATAATTAACCTATTTAGAACAACATGTTTTACTGTTACCTAATTTTTGACATAATCGCCAAGTGGCGGCCTCTTATTGGGGGGCGCCGGTGGGCCCAGGCGCCCTCCCAATAGGTGGCCTCCACTTGGCGATTATGTCAAATATTATGTAACTCATTTTGTAAGTGTAGCATTATCCTATAAGTAATTATTTACCGATCAAAAAAAAAAAAGACATTGAAGGACTGCACTCGACAACAAACAGCAATAAGAGGTTGACCCAACTCCGAGAATACAGCAAAATTTCAGATGCCGCCACATTTCCTTTTCCTTTTCCATAAACATAAATTATTTGAAATAGAAAAAAAGCCAAATTTTGACCTTGTATCGGATAGTTCAGTTCAAATCAAACCGGTGTTGAGATGGTAGAAACAATTCAGAAGTTCTCCCCATGACCCTGATCATGATTATATTTTTCAATCTTTCTTACTCGCTCCTTTGGAACCAAGGTTGAAAATATTCAAAGAACCGAGCATAAACTTATGGGTCAACTCACACTAAGACGGGAAATTAACAACCACAAAATCTACTAAGCCAGATCAAGATTTTCTCTCTCTCCCTCTATTAGACTTTGATCATAGATCTAACCAGTTGGATGAATTATTCCAAAAGGTTCACATCAAACTAGTATTGTAGCAAATACATAACCCAAACCCATCTCCATTTAACTGGTGCTGGTTATTCTTCTTCTAACAAATTAACCCAAAAACACAGAAAACTTACACAGATCAACAACAAGACTATCTTTTGTTTTTATTCTTCAGATTCAGATGTATTAAGTTGACTCCTACTCGGTGAACATGCAAAATAATTGAAATATATATACCAGCTTTCATGGAGGCATCGGCTTGCGCAACATTACGCGCCATGGAAGCAAGCAAAGCAATGCCATGCTCCGCCGCAGCAATGGTGTTAGCGGTGGGGGCATTGACCACAAGACACCCAAATTCCGTCGCCGCCTGCAGATCCACATTATCAATGCCAACACCCGCCCTCCCGACCACCTTAAGCCGCCCCTTTGCCGCCTCAAAAACCTGTCTCGTAACCTTAGTCCCACTCCTCACAATCAACGCATCACACAACGATATCTTGGCACACAATTCCTCAGGGGACAAATTATACGAACACTCAACATTTCCGAATGTTCTTAGCAAATCCAGACCCGCTTCTCCGAGTTTCTCGGAGACAAGGATTGTGGGCCTTTCAGTTTTGACAACGTTGTCGGGATCCCGGGTTCTTGACAACAAATCGGACTTTGATTCTACGGTTTCGAGGACATTGAATACTGGTGTGGTGTTGAATTTTCCTGAAAAATAGGAACTTTTAACAAGTGACAGTTTTTGAAGGGAAATGGATGAATTGGAGAATGAGAGGTGCCTTGAAAATATTGATTTTTTCTGGGATTCAACATTTCTTGTACTGAAATTGATGGGATTTTTCGCAACGCGAGAAATTGAGCTGGTAGCCATGTTTCTTGGATTCTGGTACTCTGTGGGATTCCGTGTGTCTGTGTGTTTTGCGTGGGTGGGTTCAAAAGTTGTTGGAGGAGGGAGAGTTTGGCGGAGGACCAGCAGATTTTTAAGGATATAAATACATGATTTTGGAATAACGATATTTTGAAAAAATGTGTAGTTTAAAAGTTGTAAAAAATTTTAATTTATGTGCAAAATATTTTACTGTGAAAATGCGTGATTAAAAATAAATTAAAAAAATTAAAAATTAGTTGTCAAACAGGGGCATAACTGTCACGTATGAATTTATATTTTCACCCTTCTCTTTATCATGCATCAAAATCTTGGTAGTTGAATGACTATGACAAATTAATTGTAAACAGTCACCAACTTGTTCAGATTTAGACATGTTTGGCACGTGGTATTGTCCCATATTTATTGTATTCTTACACAGGTTTTACTTTTCGTGTAAATATGTTTGATACATAATACAATTATATTAACGTATTTGATACGTAATCTTTTACGTAGACAACGTTGTCAACATAGCACAATGGTTCTCCCACTTTAACAATGCGCATTTCAAGATTTTAGTTGTATAAAATCTATTTTGTCAAACTTACAAGTTCATCACGTGAAAGCGTTGATACGTAATCGTATCACAGATATTTGATTCGTAATGCTAGACAACAACGCTAGGATGTCAAAAATGATTTTGTTGATTCTTCTGCATGTAATCCTATCACATACATATTTGGTATATGATTTTAGATAACGATGTCAGGATGACGAAATCTTACATTGGCCTTTCTGTATTCTTTCTAGTATTGTTTAATACATCACATTAAGCCCCCGTTTGACAATCATTTTTTTTTTGTGAAAAATAGTGATTTTTAGGAGAATGTGTGATTAAAAATTAAAATTTTTTTTTGAATTTATATATAAAATATTTTATTATATAAATGTGTGGTTAAAAATGAACATGTAAAAAAATAATTTGAAGATAATGATTATCAAGCATGAGCTAAACATGTCGTCAGTATTTTATAAGGCGTGCCACAGTATGAAAAATATGACATTTGAATGACTTGATTTAATTGCACGGAAACATTTATTTTATCAAATTTACAATTTCGTTGAAATATTTAACTAACGGTAAAAATATAACGAATTATTCTCACAAAATTCATATAGGAATTTAAAATTTATCTCACATGGGGGTGATCACACATAATTAAAATAATGCCTAAAACCTCCCCCACCCACCTATTATGTGTGTTGTTGGACAGGTATAAAAATTTAAATTCATGTACTTGTAGCTTAACTCAAATATAACAGTGTTCAAGTAGCATTTAAACATATCATTTGTTCCACATAATATTTTTAATAAGAGATATTTGAAGATACCTGCCATGTGATAAAGAATATACTGGCTAATTTTATAGAATAATGCTTATGCGCAAGAAAATGTATGACACGGAGAATGACGGAATATGTATTAACATGACGTGATTTGATGAAAAAAGTTAACTATATTTTAAACAGTTCAATGATAAATTGTCAAGTGACACTATATTAAAGATCAAAAATGCTACTTGTACATCAAAAATTATACATTAAGGTGTACATCACACTCACATAGGGGTGGTACCCACTTGTATGAAATATTTTTTTATTCAAGCGGGTCCCACCCCCCATGTGAGTGTGATGTACACGCCTATTTAAACCATGATGTATCGGTAGCAAAGCCGATTAAAGATTATATCAATATTATATTTATGTAGCATGATTGAATTTTATTTCCTTGATATTGGTCCCTAAGTTATTGCTTTAGTTGCGAGTTGATTTCCAATCTTTAAATAGGTGCAGGCGAAATTTCCTTGACATCAGTCCCTAAGTTATTGCTTTAGTTGTGAGTTGATTTCCAATCTTTAAAAAGGTACGATTCGATGCTCAACATTTTGTCGATGTTGCGATTTTAATACCTTTAGATAGTTATGGTCAAATTCGATGTGGAAATAGTAAATTTATTGAAAGGACGATGATGCTCTTACCCTAAGTTTAATTGCTAAATAAAACGAGTAGGAAAATAATAAAGATGAGAAGAGCTCACTAGCCCCATCCCACCATCAAACTAAGCGATAGTGGCTCCACCTAAACATTGGTTCGTTGTAAGGAGAAGATGAAATCAATTAATGATGATTTTCATTTGCGATAATCACAGATAGCATTTGTAGTTTTGCTTGTTCGCAAATTGATAAGTTGATTATCTATTTAGTTAGATTCAAAACATTGATTTCGAGTTTTTGAACATAATTTACATATTATTTTGAATCTTCAATTCAGACATATCTGGTAAGGTTTTTATAAACAAAGATAAACGAGTGTTGAAAACATATTAAATATATAGAAGCAATGAAATAAACATATGATAAATTTAGCTTTTTAATGAGACCAGCACATGAAAAAAAAAATAAAAAAAAATAGATGACCTAGGAAATTTTTGGATGGAGAAGTGGTCACGGCAAGACTTTAGAGTGTGAGGTGCACGTAGAAACAAAAAGTTAAAGATGAATTTGCAAGTTGACAATAACTCGAGGACCAACGCCAAAATTTGCGAAATTGTTATCTTATTTCTTTAATTCTGTTGCAGGGGCATCTGTGTCATTTCAAACTTGCAGGAGTTCCCACCATGTGCGCCATGGAATCGGACACGTCTTGGCGCCTACCTATTTCCCGCCGCGTACCTCTGATCATGTCAACTTGTTCCATTCATGGCCCCATCCACTTAATATCAGTCAGTTCTCTGACATTTTCTTTTTTAAGTTTCACGTGGTAATTCAAGTTTTAAGTCCATTTGACAGAGAAAATTGAAAAGTGGAAATTTTATTTAGAGCTTGTTTGGGAGAGATTTTTTGAGGAAGAATTGATTTTGAATAGTGATATGATGGGAAATGTGTGGTTGAAAAAGAAGAAAAAATTATTGATGTGATGGAAAATATTATTTTATTGAAAAATGTGTGGTTGAAAATGAGAATTGATTTATTGTAGANAGTTGAAAATGAGAATTGATTTACTGTAGAAAAATCTAATCCCTCTAAAACAGGGCCTTAAAATAGCTAATTCAGAAAAAAACAAATTACAGAGAAAAATCATATCAAACAGGACCTCCATACGACGACCAACATACTTGAAAGTGATTATAGGATATGAGATACGGCATGTATAATTTAAAATTCGATATTAATTGTGAATGTATATTTGAACAATTCTAATTATAATTTAAGAATTGTTGAACATGAATTTGTAAAGAATCGTTGATTGACTATTTGTATTCACCATACTAGATACGTCGTTTATAATGGACGTTACAATTCATAAATTTCAGCTCCAACCTACAATAAGAAGTTTAGAGGTACAAGTAACTATTCAAGTTCTTTTTTTTTTTGAAATTGAATAGCCTGCCCACTTGTGAGGACATTTCCGAGAATATGGCACGGGTGATGTCTTGTCTGATGCCAGTGATGCGGTCGAAGGTGTGCGGGATGCACGGTGCTACGCAAATATTCGAGGAAGGAAGCAAGACAACATGCGAGAAAAAATGTGTATGGCATGGGAGTTGCTCCGTTGATGCCATGACATGGATAAAGGCATTCATAATGCTCGATTGTAATCACTGGTGGACCGGGGTGGCCTGGGGGGCACGTGCCCCGTCCCCCACCCAAGGATTTTGGGAATTTTAAAAAAAAAAAAAAAAAAACCCATTCTATTCCCATTTTTCCATCCATTTTCCAACGGTTGTGGGCCCAAGGTACCATTTCCTTCAATTTTTGGCTGACAGCAGCAACCGGGCATGACACTTTGCAGTTAACATTATTTTGTATCCCACAAATGGCCTTCTAAATTCAATTGGAATGAAATTTGCCTTCAATATTCAATTGGAATCTACACTTTCAAATTAGGACAAAATGGGAATTGTGAGGCAACAGTAACATTCAATTGAAAATATCAAAGACTGTGTTCAGTCTAAGTAATAAGGCGTGTCGAATTGTATTCCTATAGTAAAATGAGTTTTGGCCAAAAATGAGATTAAAATGAGAAGAAATTATAACCCTAGTCCCTAACTTCTTCATTTCTTCATTTCTCCCACCACTCCAGTACCCTCCGTCTCTCTCGACTCTCGGTCTCTTACTTTAATTTTTTCGTTACTTGTTGAAAGTTTGATTGTGCCCCCCAACATAAAAAAATTTGTTTCCACCTGTGAGTGTAATGCGCGGATTCAGGGAAATCAAGCCAACACATTGGTTTTGTGATAAGCAAATGATCGAGGCATGGATGCCTAATTTACTTGATGACGACATCACAAGGTGGAATTTGGGGGACGCAAGTCAGATTGGCATGGACCGATGGGTTGATGTCAGCATGTGTTTAGCAGCATTGCAATCTTGTTGTCTAGTTGATTTTAGTACTCGAATTCAATGGAAATCAGGCCATGTAGACGGTACATGACGACATTTGTGGGTGGTTATTGCGTAGGTTCGATTGAAGGACGACAGTGGGCAATTCTAACATGAGAGGGTTGGAAATCTGAACAAAACTACTCAACAGTTGGGGGTGTCAATTGTAATATGAATTTTGGCAATTTTATTCTACGCGTTGGGCATTTAGTAAATGGGGCTGAGAGGAGGAAAGGGAGAGGTGACAAGGCAGCAAGATATGTTAGCCTTCACAATAATTTTGTAACGCGTTTCTTTATATTTGTTGAGAAATAAAGTTGGGTCGATGCCTGTAAATTCATGTGTTGCTTTAATATTCAATTTTCTATTTGTTTTCATAGATCAAAAGTGTCTAAACGCGTGTTGGTTGGTCGAGTACGAGAAACCTTGGCGTTATCGCGAGGTGAATGGATTAGCCCTGTGACACCCGTTAGTGAAAACTATACAGTAATGTTACCATTATTTTGCCGATTTATGGGTTAATTCCTTTTTTGGTCACTAAAGATATAGTGAAATATCAAT